AGCCTGGCCCATGGCAGAGCCACGCTTTTTTTTTTTTTTTCCCCACCAGTGTTTTGATGGCTCCCAGGGCAACCGGCCCGCGACGCGCCGTTCCTTGAACGGTTCAGTCGTTTACAAGTGTCCTGTGTGCTTGAACCGTGTCGATTACAGCTGGCACGATAGCGAGGTGCAGTGTTTGCCCTTGACGTTTTTGCATCTCTGCGTAATGGTGTGATTCCCCTCCTCAACCCCACTGCAGAAGAGTCTAAATACAATTTGAAGAAATCAAAAGTCTTCTTTGTTAGGCGTTTCAAAGACAGTGTTCATAGTGTTAAGATACTTGGTACATTGCATGTTTTTTTTTTTTGAAGTGTGTATTTTTTTTGACATTCATTAGTTCTTTCAATAACATAAGCAATTTTGAGAGTTGTTCTTTAAACCACTTGCAGTTCTAGGTTGTCATCTTTTAACAGCTTGTTGTACCTGATTTTATTCTGGATAGCCAATGTTCTGTAACTGTTCTGTCATGAATTTCTACAGGGAAAAGCTATGTGCCACTTTTTTGCAATGTTCACCTTCCCAACACGTTAATGTGTTTTCTACTAACTTAACTCTGTTATTTTTATGATCTCTTGAGCTCTTCAGTTTGTCCTGACAGTAGTTGTCAGTTTTGGCATCCGGAGATCTGGTGTAGAAAGGATTGTTGATACTTTTGGGAAACAGCCTGTATGATTAGATGAGTTCCTGTGAGAGTGTCTTTGCACTGCAGATTAGAGCTTCAGTTTTAGGTCAGACTCTGAGACTTGTCTTGAGATCTGGTCATATTGGCATAACCATAGAGTAGACCACTTTGTAAGGTAATGCAGGAATAATAGCTGCCTCAGTTTCCAAAAAGTTGAGATTAAATCGTCCCTGGCCTTTAACAATGAGTGTTGTGTACTTATATTTCGCATGACTAATAACCTAGAACCTGATGATTAAAAAAGGAAGAACCTGATAATTAAATAGGAAGAAAAGACTTTAACAAGGGCAGAAGACATGTGAAGGTCTTCATCTTCCTAAAGACTGCTGATTTTAAACATCACTGAGGCACAAGAAAAAAACCTGCAAATCCGGACTATTGTGAGTGCAAGCTTTAACTGTAAGTGAAGTGTGTGGTCAAGAAATTCCTTTGGAAAGACTCACTGCTTTAATGTATAGAACCAAATAACAAAGTTGCAAAGTGGAGTACCCATCAGAGTTGATTTCTGATAAGGGGAGACATAATCTCTTTGGAGAAGTTGGTCTTTTGGACTGAATCTCCTGAGTCAGCAAGAGAAATGATAAAAAAATTCTGTATCCTGAGATTGTCTCTTCATGTATAAGCTATCAGGCAATGCCTCTTCACTGCTTGAATTGGCAGGCTTCAAAGTATTTGTCTTCTGGCAGGAAAAGAAATTCAGTGAAGACAGTGACAGGCAATTATCTCCTAGCTTCTAGCAGAAAATTGGAGAGTAAACTTCTGTTCTAAGGCTTTGTAGCTGATATCGTTACTTTTTACTCAGGCTTTTTGGGGAAGTACTGTAGAGGATTAAGCCAGTTAGCCATAAGCAGATCTCAAGGATGTGAGGAAGGAGAACTCTTTTTGTGAGAAGTGTCAACTTTCTGTACTTCTGTGCTTTTTTTCTTAACTAACTTTCTCCTTCCTCCCCTGTTTTTTTCTCTAAACCATTCAAAAAAACCACTGAGTTTGGCAGTTTGCTAATAGACTTTCTCAAGTTGTATCAATCTGTCCAGGGTGCTAAGACGCAGGCTGTTTGTTTTCAGTTGTGACTTAAGAACTGGGCTATCATCCAATCTGTGCTTGTGTTGGAGAAGAACTAATATTGGTTGCTTATAAACAAATGGTTGCAAAATACAGTAAATACTACTCATAGGTTATCTCTGAATATAGATGTATTTTGAAGGAATGGAGTGAGGGACAAGGTTCTTTAAGGTTATTAGTAGTACTGATACTTGAAAGTACTGCTTCAGGTGTTTCTTTTTACTGTCTGCCAGCCAGGAGGGAGTTGCCGGTATTTTTAGATCTCTTAAGGCAACTTCTTCTTCTCTTCCCTGTCCACTTCCCTGACTTCCTCTTCCTTCATTTAAGAATTCACTAATGAGTTCTATTTGGTAAAACATATTAAAAGTGTGAGCTTCCTGTACTTATTTATCCCTTTGATAGATCTAAAAACTGATTTGAATGATGGTGATTTCATGCTTTGCTGATTCTATTTTGTTGTCTTTCCCCTTCTCCCCTTCCTTTTTTTTTTTTTCTTTTCTTGCAGCCTTCAGTTTCCTCTCAGGATATTTCTGCAAGGTGAAAGGCACCTTTCTGTAGTTTGCACCAAGTCCTTAGATGAGTCTTCTTTCTTCTGTGAAGCAAAGCACACAATAAATTAAAATTGGGTTCTCAATTTGTGTGTTACAATGTAGAAGTTAATCAGGGACCTTTTGATTATTATCCTAATAAACTTGCACCTATTTTGAAATACCTACACAGTCTGTTACCCCCTCCACCCTGACCAATTTTAAGTGTATTTAATGGATCCTCTAAATAGAGAAATACTGTCTGTGGTGCCTTGCTAGTCCTACCTGCAGGAGATGAGTGAGGGCACCTGACACAATCAATGTGATCAAACAAGTGAACCTTTATTTGCTTACACTCAGTGTGCTTTATAGCTTTCTAAATGAGACTTGGCAATCTATGATTGTTACAATACAAACAATAGCCCACCCCTTAGTATGATTGGTTGCATCCCGGAACCAAGTCGTCATGGTGTCAAATTCCCTTTCTGCATCCAGGCACGTGCTCTCTGGAAAGGCTGGATTGTTCACATGTCTGTTGATTCTCAGGAATCCTTCCACACCTACCTTCCGATATTTACACGCCCAAACACTGCTCTTTTGGCCAGTGAACGTGGGGCCAGGTGAAAAAAAAGAATAAATAAGAAGCATTCTAAACTAAAGAATGCAAAAGATTTTCACTGCTTGTGGGGTTTCTGCTCCTTTGAAACAGTGAAGAAACTTATTTTCACTCAATTTTAATGGATTTAACCAGCTCTAAATTCTTAATATGCTTTCAGATATCTTTATCTTTAAAGATCTTTGATAGTTGATCGGATTGAGGATTAGTGGATGCCATTTAGAATGAATGATGACTGATATTAATTGGTATTGAGCCCTAGTTCTCTGCTATATTGTAATACTTTGGAAATAATAGTGTCTGGAAAAGAGGAGCAAGACCCTTTGAATTTCAGTGATAATTCTGTTGCATTTCGTAATTTCCCTGTACCTATTTTTTCTTTTTTTTTTTTTTTTTAAGGAGAATGTACTGTATTACGTACGTTTAATAATCTGAAAGAAGAATAGCATTTGGAATAATGGCAACTGGAGACCTGAAAGGAAGTTTAAGAAAAATAGAGCAAGGACTTCGCTTGTTAAATTATCCAAGAGATGTGGATTATACAGTGTAAGTGGCAGTGTGAATAAATTTATGCTAATATGTGATGACAGCACAATGTGTAAACAAGAGATGTATAAATATTAGCATTGCACCCAGTGATGAGTAAGCAAAGCATATGTCTATGGGAAGTTGGGGTTTGATACATGTGAGCTGGAACATAAAAGGATGCTGTTTTGCTGTTCTGAGCAATCCTTAGAATGATCCTGAAGTGTATCTCTATCTTACTCCTCTTTATTCTTTTCTTTGATTAATTTCTCCCCTTCATAATTTCTTTGTAAGTGTTAGCAGAACTTTCTTTAGGAAATTTCATTTCAAGAAAAAAAAGGTGTTGAATGTTGAGATGGAAATACTAATGGGCTTTAGACCTGACAATGTTAAAATTATATGAGGGTCACAAAAACGTTGTTTTGGGTGATGTACAGATAACAGTGAAGACTGTGGAATGAGATATGCCTGGGGAAAACCTCAAAATGAAGGAGGTATTTGGGTATATCATGCTGGCTATATTAAAATACCTTTCAAGTTAGATGTTTGAATTCATGTAACGAAAGGCTTTTGTTATCTTTTGCTGTGTAAAATACTTTTGTTTCTCAATAGGTTACTAAAGGGTGATCCAGCTGCATTTTTACCTATCATCAGCTATTCTTTTACATCTTTTTCAACATATATAGCAGAACTTTTGGTGAAGTGTGATGTGGAACTCACAGCAAAGAGTGACTTGCGTTTCATTGAAGCTATTTATAAGGTATCTGTCTTCATGTTTTTTGCAGAATAGATGAAGTTTTGAGTATGGTCTCATAAAAATTGAATGTAGTATGAGTTTTACTAGAAATTGAAAGTTTTTGGCAATGAACATGAATTGTAGTTGTGTTAGGTTTTAAGATGAGTAGTAAGTCACTGTGGGCAAGTCTTTGCTTAGATTTTCATGAAAATAAGGTTGGATGTTGTTAGGCAAATCTCAATTTTGAGACAACTGCAGAATCAGTAATACTATTGTGTTCTATATTAGTTGTGAAGAATACTGAAATATTCATTGCACAACACGTTTTATAGAAGTGACTTTAAAAAATAACCAACAAAAACCCAACAAACTTCAATAATTGTAATGAAAACACAATTTAGAAATAGTTATTTTAAAACACTGTGCAAAACCAATATACAAAGTTTATAATGAACAGTTTATAAATTGGAATCAAATCAAATTTTTAGCTGAATGAAAAAAATTTTGAACTATCCTTAAAAATATCCATAAGCACATTTTTATAAAAGGTGGCGTGATGTATTAATGAATACTAGTTTTCCATCTGAGGAGGACAGAGACTCCTTTACAAAGAGGCTCTGTGGGAGCCTTACTTAGCTCTCTGACGCGTTCGCTGAGATTAATACAACTTTTTGTTGTGCATTCGCTTTGGAAGGTTTTTGTTTAACTTTTTAATTTTAATGTCTACAGTCATTTATTTCATGAATCTTAAGACTGTGAGTTAAACTTTACAACAGTGGTGTGGATAGAATTTTTCTGGAAGAGGTATGTTGAAAGTCTAGTTAGTAAAGAAACAGCTGAGAATATATAAATAACCCAATGAGAATAGGTTTAGCTGCTTAAGGGCAGAATGAAAGAAAACATTGTAGGAAAATAAGAACCTGAGCATGCTGTTTCCACAACAAATTGTGTGGTGATTTTGAAAGCGAAGTAAACTCTTATTTTGTTGCAGCTTCTTCGAGATCAATTTCAATATAAACCGATTTTAACAAAACAGCAATTTCTTCAGTTTGGCTTTGCGGAAAGAAAAATGCAAATTGTTTGTGACATTATCAACTGTGTGGTGAAAAAACATAAGGAATTAAGTAACTCAAATAAGGTACTGATTAAATGGCAACTTTATTATGAGATTTAGTTTCGTTTGACATGCTCGATGCTGCAGGTAGAAGCTGAAGACCAATTTATTTGCAGGTGCGGCATCGCTGATAGTCAAAATAGGGGGAAAATTAGCATGAAGTTCTGTGGTAAGATGCTTGAGTGCTATCACGTATACAAAAGACAAGAAGCTGCCAAATTTTTGTAGTTAGACAAAAAATATTAGAATGAAAGTGAATCTAGTACTTGGTAAATGTTTACAGTAAATGGTATATTTTCTTTTATGTTTCTCAATATAGTGAATGTTTTTGTAACTCAGTAGGCTTCACAGATAGATTTTAAAACAAAGCAAAACCAGCTGGTGTGTTGAAGTTCTGGTAACATTTAATTTAAACATGACACTTATATTTGTGTTTCAGTGGTATACGTCTCAAATCTAATTATTTTTATTAATAATATTTGTTTTCCATTAAGGCATTATTTTTTTATTGATGTATGCGGTGTATGCTTTAATAAAAGAAATTTTCATTTTTTTGTATTTTACAGGATTTTTTTGTTTGAGTTTATTACAGCCTTCAGGACTTCTGTATACTTCATTGATTACTTTTAGGGGCATAACTACATTTTTTTCATATTTGTTTGTCTTTCAACTCTGGTGCAAGTTGTCTCTCTTTATGACCAGCATTGGTGCAGCCTTGCATAGGCATTAATAAATGTATGAATACGGCATTCACTTCCAAATCTGGGTTGTTTTTTTTTTTCTGTAAATTTGGGTCATACTTTTTTTTTTTAGGTGTTACTGTACTGTAGAAGTTGTACTGTGTTTGTGTGTGTGCCATGCAATATTCTATTCCCATGCCTGCCTTATCCCCGTGCCCCCCCGCCCCCGGAAAATATTCCTGTGTTAGAAGCATAATGTTTTCTCCCCTTCACTTTGAAGGTTAAATCCCAAACAAGGAAAAAACTCAGATCTCTTAAATATGAAGTATGGTCAAATTGTGGTAATGTCTTTGCTGATCCTAGTGGCAGTGCTCTGAATTCCAAACAGGTATGTAAATAGCTTTTATGTTGTATGTCTAAAGGTTAATCTTATTTGTAGCAAGTTAGGCTTTTTCTGGAATACATGCTTTCATTTAGACTTTAATATTTGATCAGACCATTTTTTATTTTTTTATTTTTCCAAAGTGTGGTTGTCTGAAGTAATAGCTGAAATTCAGAGGATATTGCCTTCTCTGTTTTGCTGAGTAGTTGATCTCAAAGTCTTGAGGGTAATGATCTAGCACTGTTGTTTGCCACTTGAATTATATCAAATGGAGGGACAGCAATGAGAAGTGAAGATGCAATTGGAAAAAGAATATACATCCTGTTTGGAGATTGAAGTGTGTTTGGCCTAACGTTGCAGTGATAGCTTTAGAAACACTTTGCTTTTTAGTTTGAATCTGTTCAGCCAAGGTTTCTTAATGTAACATTCCTCTTGGCTTCAGTTTTAGAAGAGTAATGATCTAATTGATCTTACATGTTATGCTACTCTTGGGCTGTGAAAAAGATAGCTTTCCTAATATTTTCTGCTAAAAGCATGCAAAGTAAAATTGTACAAAACTTTTTAGGACTGTGACTGCCCATTAAATGTTGGTGACTTCTCTTTAGAAGAAAAATAGTGGATTTAGCAGTGAGGAAAACTTCACAAAAAAAATATTTGGAATGACTTTATCTAGCACTTCTGGTTGTTGAATGGTAGAACTGAATGGGGATATATGTGAGCGTATTAAGAATTACCTAGAAGAGGAGAGTTTCAGCATCACTAAAACATCTAGGAATCTGTAAGTGTTAAGATCTTGCACAAAACTAGTAATTGTGGGTTCTTAATCATTAGGTAATTTTGTTTTGTGGCAGGTAGTGATTGTAGGACTTGATCCACCTGAAAAAAGGGCAAAATTTGTGTCATTTTGTTCTCTCTAAGGAAGAAGGGAAGCATTCAAAGGAAATTAAATGTGTAGCTAGTAGGACTATTTTGCTGACAGTAGTCAAGAGAGTTCTAATCTTCCTAATTATTTTTTTCTGCATGTTTAAGTGTTGCTTTTGATATTGGAACTGTCTATACATAGGTTGATACATACAGTGAGATTCGTATCTTCCAGTCCACACTTAGAAATCTAATAACCCTTAATAACAATAAGAGAGACATTAATGCCTTCATTACTGTTTATGGAAGGGAACCAAGGTATGGTAAAGTGTGTGCATATTTTTTTACAGTTCTCTCATGTCTATATGTTTGGGTTTTTTTAATTAAACTGCCTGCTGTTTTTTTCTGTGTTTTGCAGCTGGTCGGGATAAGATTATCAGATTTAAATAAATAAATACTTTTGTGATGGTTACTTGGCTGATGAATTGAAATGTTTTATATATACATATATATGTTATATATTATGTTATATAAAAAAGATATATAATATATATTATTTAAT